TCGTATCATGACAGGTGATGAAAAATGGATATATTTTGAGAATCCTAAGCGTCAGAAATCATGGGTGAATCCAGGCGAACCATCGACATCCACTGCAATCGCTTTGGAAAGAAGACAATGCTCTGTGTTTGGTGGGATCAGAAGGGTGTAATCTATGAGCTGCTAAAACCTGGTGAAACCGTTAACACTGATCGCTACCAACAGCAAATGATCGATTTAAATCGAGCATTGGGTGAAAAACGACCGGAATATGGAAAAAGGCAACAGAAAGTCATTTTGCTCCATGATAATGCCCCATCACACACAGCAAAACGGGTCAGGGAAACGATCGAGGCGTTCAGTTGGGAAATACTAACGCATGCGGCTTATTCTCCAGACTTGGTTCCGTCCGATTATCATCTATTCGCATCAATGGGACACGCACTCGCTGAACAACGCTTCAATTCGTATGAAAATGTACGAAAATGGCTCGATAGCTGGTTCGCTTCGAAAGAAGAAATGTTTTTTGGCGTTGCATTCATAAACTGCCGGAGAGGTGGGAAAAATGTATAAATAGCAATGGACATTATTTTGAATAAAATATTTTTCATCATTTTCAAACAACAGACGTGTAATTTTTACAAAAAAATTCCGGTTTCATACTTCTACACCTGGTATATATTGAAATATATTTCTTTTATTTAAAGAATTTTTATTTCTTTAATTTTCTTTCAGTGTGTTGTATCTTGAAATAGACATAAATATTCTGAACTTTGAACTTCGAACCATGAACCTATCTCTAGGTTCAATAACTGTCATATATTTGTAGATTAGCCGAACTCCGAACGAAAAAGTCTTTTACCGTTTTGCAAATAACACGCAAATTTTTTGAGTTAATTAAGGGATCAGGTTAATACAACGCTTTAAACAGAAGCGTATTTTTTAGGAATTAATTTTGCAAAAATTAAACAACCGAATGTTTTATAACTTTACATATTTATTTTGTGAGCGCGAGAGTGACATTGTAGACAGCGTACCAGTCTGCTACATTAGAGTTGCTGGATTCAATTCCTGGTAAAGCCAAACAAATTTTCATACGCTCGTGGCTCTTCTTCGATGGTCTGGTGATCCATTAAGAATATTTATGTCACGGAAACTTCTCTCTAAAAATTTGTTGTTCGTAATCGGCGTTTAATCTGTTCGTCCCGTAAATGCGTGTGTATAATTTGCATTTGTATAATCTGCGCAACACATGTATAAGTAAGAGGTTAGTCCTAGGCCCTACATAGGTAGCACCATTGATGATGATAATTCATTATGTAACTATTATACTATATTTATAATTTTTTATTAGAAAAATCTTATAAACATATGAGTAGCATATGTCTAAACACATGATTGCAAAAAGTGCCGCTGGAATCGACGGAAAAAATACTTTCAGATGACTAATCTGTTCTAGTTATTTGAAATAAAAAAAAAATATCTTAATATGCTGGTAGATAGAAGATGAACCAAAATTTAAAATTGAAGGATGGAATTGCAGAAAAATTAAATTACTACTACCTGTTTGAAAATCGAATATCAGATTTTCGCATTACAAAAAAAAGTAATTATTTTAATAAACTAAACATATTCATCTTCCCAAAATTAAAAATATATTCGCAATTAACAACCGTGTTTGGCTTAGACTGCCCCATTCTTATTTCATATATTTGAATATTTATTTAAACGTTTTTCTGATTTTTCTAAGTTCATCCTCCAATGACACGTGTCTACTGAAAGTAAATGCAGTTTCAAGTTCATCGGTTATGTTTCAAGTTGTCTTTCTCGTCAGTTTGAAAAACCTTTCGAGAAAACTTGTTTAAAGTTTAACGAGAGTTTCTTCAGATATAATAATTAAAATTTTGCAACTAACATTTAAACGGATATTCTTGTATCCATGCATTAAATCCTCAGCTTCTTCATATAATTTATTTTAGATAACTAATTCTTTTTTTCTTGACTTTTTTGCTTCCTTGATATCTCGGGATATACGCAGTCTCGCGATTTTGAATCAATGCTTATCTTTGTTACTAGTGAATATCTACCATTGCGGCATGATTATTATTTCCATTATTTGGAACATTTACAAAACGTAAAGATATCCATTATTATTAGGTACTGAAAAAAGTTCGTGCGGTTTCCTTCTTAGCAATGAATTGAAGTCGGATTTCTATCAGTAATTCGCATGTATAATATATGAAATTGGAATCAACAGGAAGCTACATTAATGTCAGTATTGTAACGGTGTATCGCGCACTGAGAACCCCCGTGGTCCGACCGCCCAACAGTCAGGCCACTACTGGCGCTTTGCGCCACATTAATTTGCCATACTAGACGCACATGCGACGCACGTGAGCAACAACACGCCGTGTTAGCATTTTTGGCAAACAACAAACAACGCGCCGTTCCTAAGCAACGGCACGGCGAAACCGATGCGAGATCGATATATAAGGACGCTCCGTCGTAAGAAGAGGGCCGAGGGCCTTCCACCGAAGTCAATCAGATCGCTAAGATCGAAGACTGCTCCGGATCCCAATTCCCAGATCGAGGAGCCGGGACGGTGCGTTCGCCGCCTCTGCCTCGTGTCCGCAGCCTTCAGATACGACTATCCTTCCTACCGGCAAGAACGAAGTTGTGCGAGCGCAGACCCTTCCGTGGAAGTCGTGGGCGCCGGGTCTAAGAACTACCCGGGACAGTGTGTTCGCTATCTCAATCGGGATCTCCCAGTCCTCTCGCTCGTCGGCTAATCGGCTCGGGGAACACAACGAGTCGGGATTGGTGCATTCGTCGTCTCCACCGAGTACTCTCCGCCTCGTCACCTCGATTGACCGATCAAGGAATCAAAAACCGGGGCAAGCATGCGTTCCGTGCGCTACGTAAACGAGATCACCGAATTGATCTCTCCGCCGTATACCGCGCCAAACGGACAGGCGACCAACCGACGCGTGGACAGCACAGCAATGCTGCGCCCGTTCCTTGCCGACGCGTAGGTTGTGCGCGTCACTGTCGAGCAAGTCGAACATTGAGGTGCGTACCGCCGTGTGCACCCTGCCCGTGACACAATGTTCGCTTACCGATTAAAAGCGAGATCACCGAATTGATCTTTCCGCCGTGCTAGACGGATCAACGGCCGACAGACGCGTGAGACCCGCAGGTAAACATGACGCCTGCTCCCCGCCGCCGCGCTGGTCGCGTTCGTCATTGTCTAGCAAGCTGCGAGCCGTGTGTACATCGCCACATACACACGGCATCTATTTTGTTTTGGGCGAATTAACACACCGAAATTCCGATCTTAACCGAAACGTATTTCCACGAAGCATGGGACGAGAGAAGCAATCAGAGCTGGGGGTACTGTGATGCTGTGAGCACTTGAACATCTCTTTAATAAATGCATTGCTGAGAAAAAAGTTCTATCAAATGGGCAAATGCTGCAATTGTAATTTGGTGCAAGAAAGGTCCATGTGATCTAACGGACCTGAAAAATTATAGACCTATTAGTCTCCTATCCCATCCATACAAGCTGTTTATGAAAATTATAATAAAACGATTAAAGCCAATGCTGGATTTCTACCAATTGCGTGAACAAGCAGGATTTGGGACAGGCTATGGCACTAACGACCATTTGCAATTAATGAAGACGTTGATTGAAAAAAGCTTTGAATACAATAAACCACTTGTATGAACTTTTGTCGATTATGAAAAGGCATTTGATAGCATAGACCAAGAAAAGATACTAGCCGCTCTAGCGGAAGCATGCATAGACTATAGATATTCGGCATTTATAAAGAATATATATAAAAACGCTAAGCGTGCGTTAAACTTGGGATAAACACAAAAAAGTTCAAGATGGGAAGAGGAGTACAACAAGGCAATAACATGTCTCTAAAACTATTCACGACTCTTCTAGAATATATGTTCAAAGAGATATAATGTGAAGAAAGTGGGTATAAAAGTAGATGGGAAAAACTGATCTACCTACGATTTACAGACGACGTCGTGATTATTAGCGATAGCATGAACAAAGCAAATGAGATGGTAAATGAATTAAATGCAACATCACGTAAGGTTGGTTTAAAAATGAACCTAGAAAAACTCAATTTATGATAAGTCAGTAACCAAATCTAGTTTCTAGTCAACCAGTGAAAGTAGAGGATGCATATATTAAGCAGGTCCACGCATATAAATACTTAGGGCACGAAATCCGTATAGGACGAGATAATCAAACTACGTAACTGAAGAAAAGAATAGGTTTAATGTGGATCGCTTTTGGGAGATTGAAAAAGGAAATATTGTATGTGGGAAAAAGTTCGTGGCGTTTTTTTAGTAAAATTCAAGTGTTTATCTTAGAGTATTAAAATCAATTTATCCAAACCAAATATGCTCTATTATTTTCGATAATATTTTACCATTTTTGGGGCAGAGCCATAATCCCATCGCGATAGAACTTTTGTAGTTTTTGTCGAAAAACTGCTTCAAGTGATTTTCATAAGCCTCTTTTGAAACCAGATTTACACCATTAAGGTAATTCTGCAGTGACCTAAACAAACGATAGTCTGAGGATGCTATGTCAAGACTATACGGTGGATGCATCAAAACTTCCCAGCCAAGCTCTCGCAATTTTTTCGGAGTCATCAATGATAACTCCGATCGAGCGTCCGATTGTCGCGATGAAAGGCGTCATTCCTCCTATTGAACAATTCTGGACGCTTCCTCTCAATTGCTAGTTGTAATCTCTCCAGTTGTTCACAGTAGAATTCAGAATTAATTGTTTGACCGGGCGGCAACAGCTCAACAGTGAACGATTTTCTTCTAATCCCACCATACACACATCACCTTTTCAATCCAAGTTTTGCGATTGCTTGCGCCTTCTCTTCTTCCTTTGTCCACAATCTTTTTCAAGTTGAACTGTCGTACATGACCCATTTTTCATCACCATTTATCATTCTCTTCAGAAATGGCTCGATTTCATTCTGCTTTAGTAGCGTATCGCAAGTGTTAATTCGGTCCATCATGTTCTTAACACTCAATTCGTGAGGAACTCAAATATCGAGCTTCTTTTTGTATACAGCTCGTGATTCAAAACTGTTTTGTGTCGATGCGTAGTTCACTGGCAATCTCTGCACTGCTCACATGCTTATCACGCTCAACTTTTTTCATGATTTCATCGGACTTTTCGGTGATTGGTCGACCGGAGTAAGGTTTATCTTTGACATCGAAATTTCCAGTACGAAAGCGAGCGAACCATTTCCGTGCTGCTGATAAAGTATCTTCACCATAAACAGCACAAATTTTTTCACAAGCCTGTGCAGCGTTCTTGCTTTTATCGTAGTGATACTGTAAAATGTAGCGAATTTTTTCCATATTTATCTCCATTTTCAAAATAAAATAACTTTTGATCCATTTCACAGATTTCAATCTTTTCGGCTCAAAACAAAGATTGATATGTCACGCGCGTCTAGTGTTGCCAATGCGATTAATAGTTACCGACTACTGAGCAAGTAATGCCATCTAATGCCAAACGCCATGAACTTCTTCCCATACCCAATATTTAGTGCAGATGAACCAATATGTCTAAAGAGGAAAGTATATAACCAGTACGTCCTCCCTGTACTCACCTACAGAGCGGAAACGTTAACACTCACGAAGAAAACCATCGCTAAGATACAGACGACACAGCGAGCAATGGAACGTTCCATGTTAGGAATAATGCTAATGGATAAAATTTTCAACAAAAACACCCGAGAAAGAACAAGGATCACAGACGCAGTGTGAAGAATAGTCAGACTAAAGTTGAATTGGGCGGGACACGTGGCGAGAATAACATACGGAAGGAGGACTAAAGGACTCCATCTTGGAATGGCGATCAAAATTTGATGCTTGCAGAAATAACGGAAGACCTCTTACTAGGTGGGCTGATGATATTAAGCGTATCTCAACGAACTGAATATAAAAAGCACAAAATCGTGAGGAATGGATATTTTTAAGGAAGGTCTATGTCCAGTCGTAGACATGACAGGCTGTGTGATAATGAGTCAAAACAATGCATAACAAACCGAGATTGGATCTCTGCTAATATTTTCAAGATACTACAAGAGAGAAGAAAATTACTAACAACCCGTTTAAATAATATCGAAACGATAAACGAATATCACAGATTGTCATCGACCATCTAAAAGAATAGCAGAAAAGATGAAAACAACTTCCTAAACAACCTTTGCGCAGAAATCCAATTTCATGCAAACCGCCTTTATTCTGGAGACGCGTTTCACAATATCAAGCAGATCACAAAGAAATTTAAGCCCTACACATGGTATATCAGAAATGGTGTGGAGGTTTAGAAGGGATAGCCCGGGAAGAATCTAGGCATGTGCCCACTGAGTACTCGGCACAGAGATTAAGAAAGACTCCTTTATTTCGTAGAGAAACACTAGAACGATGCAGCTCTAACGGCGGGCTAGTCTCCACTGTTTTACTGCCGTACAGCGACAAAAGACTAGCCGTGCAGTGACAAAAGACTAGCTCGCCGGCGTGTGGTGGGGGGCGAGCTCGCATGCAAGCGAGATAGAGCATAGCCGTCACATACACTCCCCTGCCAGTGTTAAAAAATTATCTTATGTTAATTTTTAACACGAAAAAAATGATACGCAAAGATACAGAAGAAATTGTCTTACACTAAGAAGGGTACTTATAGTTAATAATTCGGTACAAAGCACCTGAGATTATTCTATTTCGACTAGAAATCGTACCGGAAGTGAAGACTATCGCCGTTAAATTAACGCGAAACTTTGCGAAAGAGTCGCTTGTTTAATTAGGATTACCCCGATAAATATTTACAAAATAGTATATTAGTAACGGAGTGGAAGAAAATAAATAATTATGCTCGAGTTCGAAAAAGGAAGACGCGTCACGATCACAGAAGTCTTCTCTTAAGATTGAAGCGAACATGTTTAATCGGACCTTGCACCGCACTGATATTTGTGCTGGTTTTTTTCTTGAGAATAGACGGTACAAACTTAGTTTTTCTATCTGCCGGAGGAGCAACCGAGGTAGTGTGCTGCTGCTGCTGGGTTGCCTGCGGAGAGACCGCGTTATGATGCGAGAGTAGGGTCTGCTGCCGTGTAGGAGAAGGCTGCGGCGCCGCAGGTGAGAGAGTAGGTCGCTCTGTCTCAGTGGTGGAAGCAGAGCCTTGTTGCGAAGGGCGGTGCGAAGGAGCTTGCAGTGTCACCGGAGAGGAAGAGCCACCGGAGTCGAGCGTAGCGGCTGGAGGCGTCGCCAAGAGCTCCTCGCAAAACAAGAAAGCTGGTTTTAGATTCTCCACGCTGACGTTGGCTGAACGACCGTTAATGTCGATTTGAAAAACTCTGTCGTCGATCCTCTGAATAACCTTGTGAGGGCCAGAGTATGCCTGGTTGAGAGTGTGCTTCTTTGCATGATTTCTCAAATAGACATGCGACAAGATGTAGAAAGACTTGTAGACAAAGATGTTCTGTTTGCAATGGTGGGAAGTCGACACAGGTCTGAGTTGCTGCATGTGAGATTTGAAAGGAGCTAAGAAGAAGGCGTGGTCCTCCGGATGCTGCTCATCTATGAAGAACTCTCCTGGTAAACGTAGAATGGAGCCGTAGAGGTATTCCGCAGGGGAAGCCTTGAGATCTTCTTTGTAAACAGATCGCAGACCCAAAAGTACCGTCGGAAGTTTTTCTAGCCAGTCCTGAGAGTCGTGACAGCGCAGAGCTGTTTTCAGGACACGATGCCAGCGCTCAAGGATGCCGTTTGGAGCAGGGTGGTAGGGCATCGTCCTGATGCGCTTACCTCCCAGCAGTTGAGCGAGAGCGTTGAAGAGAGCAGATTCAAATTGCAAGCCTCTGTCTGTAGTGATGAACTTTGGATAGCCAAAGCGTGCGATCCAGCTGCTGTAGAAGTGCGTGGCCACGTTCGCGGCCGTGATGTTTTTGAGAGGAATGGCCTCCGGCCAGCGAGTGAAGCGATCTACCAATGTCAGTAGGTAGGTGTAGCCCTGGAAAGGTGGCAGCGGGCCCACCAAATTTATATGAATATGATCGAAGCGCTGATCCGGATTCAGAAACGTCTTGAGCTGCAAGTGCACGTGCCGACCAATCTTAGAGCGTTGATAATGCTCGCAGGCGCTGGCCCATCTGGTTATGTCTTTCGACATAGAAGGCCACACGTAGCGTTGTGAGATGATCTTGGTGGTGGCGCGACCTGAAGGATGAGAAAGCGAATGAGTGAGGTCGAAAACTTGCCTCCGGAATGTTTCCGGCACGTAAGGCCTGATGTCGTTTTGTGAGACGTCACAGTAGATCTCTAAGTTCTCCGGTCCCAGCGTGAGCTTGCGGAGTTTCAGAGAAGTGATAGCGCTTGTAAGAACGTGCTGCAGCTCCTGATCTCTAGCTTGTGCTTGCGAGAGTTCTGCAAAATCGAGCATTGTAGAGAGTCGAAGGGCGTCGACTTGAGGAGGAGAGCCATTCTGTAGGCAGACGCGTGTGCAGGACCGCTGGAGCTTGGATTGACAGCGTCGGAGTTCGGCGCAGGCTCGTCGATCCGAGAGAGAGTCCGCCACGACGTTGGATGCACCGGCAATGTGCTGAATGTCTGTTGAAAATTGCGCGATGAAGTTGAGCTGGCGAAGCTGCCGTGGTGAGGCGTTGTCCATTTTCTGCTTAAATGCAGAGAGGAGAAGTTTCTGATCGGTGCGCAGAGTAAGAGGGTAGCCCTCGATCATGCCTCTGAAATGTTTAATGGACAGAAATAGAGCGGTCAACTCTCGATCATAAGCCGAATAACCTTGCTGCGTGGGCGAGAAGGACTTCGAAAAGAATCCAAGAGGCTGTCCCTGGTCCTGCACCAGCTGTTCGAGAACCGCTTCAGCCCTAGTGTTGGAGGCATCGGAGGAGATTCTGAGCTGTGCGCCAGAGCAAGGATGAGCCAAGAGAGCCGCATTCGCAAGAGCCTCTTTGCATTGATGAAAGGCCGAAAGCGCTGCATCGCTCCAAGGAACAGGACGCATGTCTTTTTTCTTGGCGCCCAGAAGCAGATGATGCAGTGNACAGAAATAGAGCGGTCAACTCTCGATCATAAGCCGAATAACCTTGCTGCGTGGGCGAGAAGGACTTCGAAAAGAATCCAAGAGGCTGTCCCTGGTCCTGCACCAGCTGTTCGAGAACCGCTTCAGCCCTAGTGTTGGAGGCATCGGAGAAGATTCTGAGCTGTGCGCCAGAGCAAGGATGAGCCAAGAGAGCCGCATTCGCAAGAGCCTCTTTGCATTGATGAAAGGCCGAAAGCGCTGCATCGCTCCAAGGAACAGGACGCATGTCTTTTTTCTTGGCGCCCAGAAGAAGATGATGCAGTGGAGCTAGAAGCGTGGCGTCGTCCTTGATGCAACGACAGTAGGCACTGACCATGCCAATGAAGCGTCGCAAGATGAAGAGAGTCTGGGGCTGCTCGTAGTCGAATACAGCCTGTACTCTATCTTGAAGAGGTCGGGAGCCCTGCGCCGAGATCTCGTAACCTAGGAAGGTTATGGAGCTGACGGCAAAGATGCACTTCTCCAGGTTGATGAGGAGACCATGGTCCTTAAGGCGCTGAAAAACCAGCTGCAGATCCTGGAGGTGTTGAGAAATGCTGTCCGAGGCTATGAGAATGTCGTCGATGTAAGGAAAGGCGCTGAGACCCCTTAGGACATCGTTTATCTTGCGTTGGAAGGTCTGCGAAGCATTCTTAAGACCAAACATGGTTACCGTGAACTCGAACAGACCAAAAGGAGTGATGATGGCCGTTTTCGGAATGTCCTCCTCAGCAATGGGAATCTGATTAAACACTTTGAGGAGGTCTATTTTGGAAAAGATAGTCTTGCCATGCAGAAAAGC